ATGTGTAATTTCGGACCGGAGGATTGGTTAAGTCACTGCCAGCATAGATGCCTCGGGTTGAGAAATCCGAGGCATCATCAGAGGCAAATCCTCGGACAGACCTTGTCCGAGGTTTTTGCCCGAGGTATTTTTTTGCCCTGGAAATAACCTCGGATCAAAACCTCGGGAAGCTTCTGTCCAAGGTTTTGCATCCGAGGATACCTCGGATTACAAAATCCGAGGTAAATATGTTGGCGGTGAGTGATGAGGAATGGAAATTACTGTTACATGTAGTAGTGTTGCGGGAAGGGGCTATTGCTTATTGTGAAGAAGAGAGGGGAGTGTTGAAGCATTCTTACAGGTTTCCGTACGCAATTCCGGTAGTAGATCACGAACCTTGGCAGAAGAAACCTATTCCTATTCCGGCGGCCATTAAACCAGAGTACATTGAATTAATACGTCAACGTCTACGGACAGGGTTATACAAACAATCTACTTCAAGTTATTCAAGTCCGGTGTTTTGCGTCAAGAAACAAGACGGCAAGTTACGAGTAGTACATGATCTACAAGCATTAAACAAAGTTACTATCAAGGACGCGGGAATGCCTCCGGCGCCAGAGGAATTTGTAGAATCATTTGCGGGAAGAGCGTGTTACGGATTGGGTGATATTATGGGCGGATATGATGAGAGAGAATTGGCGGATTTTTCAAGACCTTTAACAACTTTTGAAACACCTTTGGGGCGCTTTCAACTTACTTGATTGCCTCAAGGTGCTACTAATTCAGTAGCGGTTTATCAAGCTCACATGATGTGGATTCTTCAAGACAAAATTCCACAGAACGTAGGTATCTTCATTGATGACGGCGGAATCAAAGGTCCTGATTCTACCTACGGCGATGCGGTTCTGGACGAAAATCTGGGAATTAGGCGTTTCATTTGGGAATATGTGGTTACATTAGAAAGAGTGTTATTTCGAATTGAGGAGGCTGGTCTTACAGTATCAGGGAAGAAGTTCGCGGTTTGTGTACCAGCGCTAGAAATTGTAGGACATGTAGTATGTAAAGACGGGAGGACAATTTCTAAGAAGAAAAAGAATAAGATCCAAAACTGGCCGGTTCCAACAAATACAACGGAGGTTTTAGGCTTCTTGGGAATGTGTATATATGTTAGGATGTTCATTAAGGATTTTTCAAAGATTGCAGCGCCTATGAGGAGGCTTACGCGAAAAGATGTGGAATGGAATTGGACGGAGGAATGTCAGGAGGCGTTGGATACATTAAAGAAGATTATTGGTGAAGACATAATGTTAAAGGGTTTGGAATACGGAGAGGGAGTGGGGAAGATTATATTAGCATAGATTCAAGTCAGATTGCAGCGGGAGGAGTATTAATGCAGGAGGATAAGCACGGAAAAGCAAGGCCGGTGTTCTATGAGTCTTTGGTATTTTCGCCGGTGGAGTCAAGATATTCACAACCAAAGCTGGAGCTATGCGGAGTTGCTCGGATACTGAAGAAGTTTCAAAGCAAGCTCTGGGGTCAACATTTTGAACTTCAGGTGGATGCCAAATCTTTGATAGAAATGATCAATAGGCCAACATTACCAAATGCACCTATGACTAGATGGGTGGCGTTTATACAACTGTTCTCTTATGACATTGTTCACAAGTCTGGGAAGAGTTTTGGAATGCCAGACGGACTCTCACGGCGACCTGTCGGGGAAGATTCAACATCTGAAGGAGAAGACTTTGACGAGGAACAGAAAGATATATCACCTCACGAAGGTTTTCCGGTTTCTACAATCAACAACGAGGCAGAGGAACTTCTACCGTGGATGCAGGACGGATTATGGATAGTGCTCAAGGAATACTTAAAGACCTTTAAGAGACCAGCAAATTGTTCGGATGAAGATTATCAATGGGTTCAGAATAGAGCTAAGACTTTCTTTGTGGAGCGGGGAAGATTAAAGAAGAGGGTACTTGTGGAGAATAGGGTTTCAAGGAAGGACAGTCAAGAGATTGGGTACAGAGATTACACGAGGAAATGGGTCATAGAGGAGTGGAAGAGACGTATAGAAGATGCTTAATGAGGTTTTGGTGGCCGGAGATGAAGGAAGATGTACGGAAATGGGTTATGTCTTGTGAAGCTTGTCAACGGTGAAGTCCACGAACTCAGAAGGAAAAAGGACATGCTACGGGAGAATCTACGGTATTTGGACGAGTTAGTCTAGACGCAGTTCATATCAAGACGAGTAGATATAAATATTTAATTGTAGCACAAGATGATCTTTCCGGATGGGTAGAAGCCAAAGCTTTACAGAACTTAACGGCGAAAGCAGTGGCAGACTTTATTTTGAAAGAGTGGATATGGCGATATGGGGCGGTGAAATGTTTTACAGTAGACGGCGGACCGGAGTTCAAGGGGGAATTACGGGAAGCAGTGCGGATGTCAGGATCAAAGTTGGGGGAGGCGACACCTTATTGGCCTCAAGGCAAAGGAATGGTAGAACGTGGACATCAACCGTTGAAGGATGCTTTAGTAAAGATGTGCGGTGAAGACAGCAGAAAGTGGGCGGAGAAGTTACCTTTAGTGTTGTTTGCGGATAGAATTTCAACAAAGCGGACAACTGGAGTTTCGCCGTATGAAGTGTTATTCAGTCAAAAGGCAATCTTACCGGTAGACGTAGAAGCAGGAACCTTTCTCAGAGTGGAGTGGGACAAGGTTACTACTAGGGAGGAATTATTGATGGCGCGAGTGGAGCAATTAGAGCAGAGAGAGGAGATGTTGGACAAAGCTTTTGAGCGGATGATGAGGGCAAGGACAGACGGGGTTATATATTGGGATGAGAAGAATGCGCATAGGTTGAGAGGTTCATTAGAGGCAGGAGATTTGGCATTGGTTCATAATAAAAGTTTAGAGACGCAATGGGGAAAATTGTTTAAGGATAGGTGGAACGGACCTTATAGAGTTAGGGAACAGTATCTGGGAGGTTCATACATTTTGGAAGAGTTAGACGGGACAGTATTGACTAGACGATTTGCGGCGGAACACGTTAAAAGGTTCTTTCCGAGGGGTGTTTTGGCGATTTCAAGGCAAGAAGATTTTCAAGAGGAGGATTTGGGTAGTGCGGGTAGTTCAAAATAAAATATCAAATTTAAATAAAAAAATATATTTCTCAAATTCATCAAGTTTCTTTTTCTTTTTGTGTGTGCGGTTTTGTTGTTTTGTTCTTCTTTTTCTTTTTTTCCTTTTGGGCGGTGGATTGTACATTATAATGGTTTGGTGGACTTAGTGTTTTGCGGGTTAAAATATCAGGGCGTATTTCTTTAGTTATCATTTTCTCTTTATTTTGGCGGTGTACGGTTAGGACGACGAGGATGGTGGAAGTTGGCAGGAATGGATAGATATTAAATCATCAAACAACATAAGTAGTAGGGTAGGGGCGGGCGCAACAATTAATAAATCAGAAATTCGACATTCAAATCAATCAAAGACAAATTCGGAGTACTACTTAAAATCAAAATTACCCCGTTCAAGGGGCTTGTTACGTTTCTTTTTTCTCATTTTCTTTTCTTATTGTCTTTCTCATATAATAACATCATTAGCAGGGGGGACGGGAAGGGTAAGAGTTACAATAAAACAACAATTAGTCAAATCAAAATTACAATCAACAAATGGATTACTGCTATAAACAATTTTTCACATTTTTTTCTCTTTTTTTTTTAGTTATGGTTATTTTAAATTAAGTTTCTCTTTATCAGTTTCTTTATTTTTCGGTGGTGTTTGGTATAGGTTGATGAGGATGGAGGATTAGTTGGCTGGTACGGATAGCAAAAATTATTATAACAATTGTAGTAGGGGGACTGCGGCGGGACAATCATTAACAATAAACAATTAAAACAACAAATGGATTACTACTACATATAAAATTACACATTTTTCGCAAGTTACGCTCAAGTAAAATAAATTATATTATCATCAAAGTCAATTTTGCGAAGTTACGGTTATGTTTCTCTTTTCTCTTTTTCTTTTTTCACCTGTGAGGTACAGATCTATCGGATACTATCCGAAGATGCTGAGACACGTTATCTTCGGATAAGACCACTATTTTGGTGTACAGATCAGCCAGATCTATCAGACAAGTCTGCAGAAGAAAAATATCACAAGTCCAAAGTGTTTTCACATAAAGTCATTGGGCGCCTGCGGCGCCGTCCACAACAAATCAACGAACAAGACGGTAAATAATTACATCTTTGGCCTGTATACTACCTCTACAGTGTACCTCCAGACCAGCCTGCAACAAAACTGAACAAGTCGCCTTTGCAGACAAGACAAGTCTGTGACTACTCTGACACGCCATACACAGACTTGTCTGGCAATCCGTGCAAAACTGACCAAGTCATTTCTTCAGACTTGTCTGTGGCCCAGATACTGCCCTACCAAGTCATACACAGACCAGTCTGGCAATCCGTGCAAAACTGACCAAGTCATTTCTTCAGACTTGTCTGTGGCCCAGATACTGCCCTACCAAGTCATACACAGACCAGTCTGGCATTCAGCGTAGAAATGGAAAATTCATCTCCACAGACTTGTCTGTGGCCCAGATACTGCCCTACCGAGTCATACACAGACCAGTCTGGCATTCAGCGTAGAAATGGAAAATTCATCTCCACAGACCAGTCTGTGGCCCAGATACTGCCCTACCAAGTCATACACAGACCAGTCTGGCGATCCGTGTCAAACTGACCAAGTCACCCTCACAGACTAGTCTGTGTCCCGGCTTCAACAAACCTTACACAGACCAGTCTGATATTCAGCGTAGGAATGGAAAAGTCATCTCTGCAGACCAGTCTGTGGCCCAGATACTACCCCCAGAGCATACCTCCAGACCAGGCTGTCAACCAGCGTAGAAATGAAGAAGTCATCACCTCAGACTAGTCTGCAGCTCATATATCAATGTCTACCAATTTTAATTCTGTACATTTCTATCAAAAAACAATCACAAAATTACAACAAACACCATTTCAAAAGTCATCTTCCTCCCTCTCAAAGTCAACTTGCAAATCACCATCATCCCCTGGTTCTGCAAACACTGTTTGCGCTGGAACAACCTCTTTCCACCGACTTTCACAGCTTACCATCAACTCCCTCCACGTTACTTCTAATAAGTTGTCCACCTCCTCAGATGTATCCACATATTGATGGGTCCCACGTAATAGAGAAATCATCAATGGGTCCCAACCTCTCCAGTAACGGCACATCACATACGTCAATCCCTTGTTTGTATTTTTGAGTATTTCCACACAATCCTCCCAAGTCCTTTTTGAAACACGATTGATGTGCCAAGCTTCATCATAACTGGGATCAACAACCTCCACTGGGAGAGAACCCGCAGTTGCGTCCCAGCCTTCCAATTGAACAGTATCATTCATCAGTATATATTTTAATCACTCAACATCAGATCACAAAAGGAGTCTATTACCTTGACTGGAGAGTTCTTCCACATTTCCCAACTTTTCCAACATCTTACTTGACCACAAAATCATGTAACGCACCTCCCTTGAGATCCTGCGGAATTCCTCGTCACAACGTGCTACCCTTAGATAAGCTTGAATTCCTACACGTGTTGGTGCATCACATGCCCATAGTTCATCTGAATGAGTCAATAAGTTGAAATTCCAGAATTCATCGTCAATGTTCTTCCCCTTACAGTCGTCCAAAGTTGGAACCTGCATTGGTTCAAAGGTTGGAAACTTTGTGTTGTATGTCTTAACTCAACTTTGGTAAATATTCCATTTCTTCTTGAAGACCGCTTGTTTAGCATTCATTACAGTTTTCATGTACTGTTGATTTGATGTACCTGTCCCGCAAATGAATAAATAAATTTAGCATAGCACCAAGTACACCTGTCACATCCATTTCATATTTAACAACTAACCAAGCCCCCCCTTATCCCACCGTCTTTGAAGCTCAATGATACCCACCTTAGCTTCATACAGCTTAGATTTTGCTACACGCACACGGATTATATAACGTGCCCGCTCATCTGATCATTGTGTGTATTTGTTGCATGTCAACGTTCTTGACAACAAATCATAGTTTTCACACTACGTGACTTACCTCCAGCACCTGAAATATTACAAAACCTATGTTCCCCAAGCTCCTCCACAAGTACATCAATTTCCCCCTGCAGATAATCAACCTCCAAGCTTACCCGGTGTAGCTCTGCACGCTGATTTTCTGTTCTCCTTCTAATCTTGCGCAAACGGGTTTTCGAGGTCCTTGTAGGAAGGAGACATGACCAAATGTTAGACCAACTTATTTTATTGCCACGTTTGGCCTAATACTTACTTTGCAATCTTAAGGTCATCCTCTAATTCGCCCAATCGCTCCAACATCTCTTGAACTTCATTGTGATTTTCATCGTCAATCAGCTCGAGTTGCATTTCCTTCTGGCGTGTCCACTGTTCAGCAAAATACTGCATATTGAGACCAAGTATGCTTTCAAAACATTCCAGTGTCCGCATGTGTTCAAGCCGAGTTTTTTCATGAATTCACAATTTATTTTGCGTGGAGATAGCTACCGGGAAAAAAAATTAACACCTCCAATGAATAC